ATCATAAAAATTACGGCTAGTTATTTTTATAATGATGTACTTTTTACAATCGTTGAAATGTTGAAAATTCTTAACTCCAAAATTTTATGGAAATAAAAAAATATGTGTCCAATATTTTAGCTCAAAGCACAAAAAAAAAGTTGTTGCCAATAGCTCTCTCTGCATATATGTACATATGTATCTCTTGATATAATTTTCTGTTCTCTAAGGGCCTTGCGGGGACGACCACTTCTCCTTCTGTCACCAACTGTAGACATTCGGGAAAAAATTATCAATAGTGCGGTAAACAAACATTCTCGAAATATTACGTTTTTTGGGAAGCTCGATTTTCTTTAGTTTGGTATTCCTTTGTTAATTAATATATGATACAAATATTATATATGCTTACAAATTATAATAAAAATTAAGGTAATGTTTCTGCAAATATGTTTTGTTTTATACATTGCAAACTTTTTATATAATATGTTGGAAATTTGAATTGTAATTTGAAATCAAATCTGAACTGGTAATTATTCAAGGTGGTAGGTAAGTGGGTGATAGCTTTTCTTGTAGGATAACCCTCACGGGTAAATAGTTACGTCAATGTGTTGATGTACTGTAAATAGTACAGGTCTCCCTATTGATTGGATAACATCAGGTGTCAACCAACAAATAGTAAAAATGAAATTAAGTTGTAATACGTTTCACAAATAAAAAAGTTTTCACACAACAACTTGATTACGTGAAAATATCTTCACAAATAAAAATGTTTTGCTTAAGATAGGTTAGGTTATAAGATCGTTGTTATCAGGGTCTTTTTTTTTACCAACAACTATTACATATATCATATAATAAGACCATTTTACACCGACAAAGCACTATCACAAATTTGTTGAGTCGGCTAATATGTATTACTTTCTATAAGCAATTAGTTCAGAAGATCTTTTCCTTTTTACTCAAAGCCAAATGGCTTTCCCTTACAAGGACCTCATTTTGATCGTTCAGTTTGTATGGTAGCCATATGCCATAGCAGTCCGAAACCAGTTGTTCAACAGATGAGCGCGTCTTGTGAATAATAGGATGTGTGCGAAAATAAGGAAAACTCAGGGACTAGAGTTGCTCGAGATTAGTTGCGTCTAATAGAGAGCATCTGCAATAGTTTCGTCCGACTGCAAGAGTTCGAAGTACACTACGCGACGCTGATCCCACCAAATGCACGGCCTATGGCATGTTCCTCGTCTTCCTTTGTCAAATTTTTGAACTTATGAAACAATTCTCGACACGTTCTTTCACTAATGCAACGTTGATCATAAATGCTTAAAATTATTTGACGCACCTGAGTTGAGCTACGTAAGCAAATTTTGAATGAAGCGCAAAAAACAAATTCCCCGCAAATGACCCTCTGTAATTGTAAACAACCGAGATTTGGTAGAGTCTCAGCTGGCTAAGTAACGTTTCTGATCGTATTTATTTACCGATTTGCAATGCTGGCGCCACTTATGGGAAGAGGTAGTTTTCTATTTGTACGCCTGATATAATATCTATAATATTCTATTGTTGAACTTTCATCAAAATACCGTATTTTTTAATCTCATGTGCGCCTAATATTTGCACTGCACCTGAGCGAGAGAACATATAAGAGCATATAAGTATATATTATTTATATATATTTTAACTTTTTCTATTTCAGCTGAGCTGATACACAACATACTACATACATATGTATGTATTTAAATGCATTTACAAAAACAAACAATTTTATATTAGCAAAAACAACGCGTCAAATATAATAGTATATGTCCGAATGTACGCAATGGTACTTAGCACAAATAGAATATTTAAATTGTATTAAAAATGCATAAATATTAAACTGCATACATTCATGACCTTACGATGATGAAAGAAATGTCGGAGAAATATGTACGTACATCTCGTATACACCCAACTCCTCCTTTACACGGTAGATACGTTCCTTAGAAATCCGTGTAAAAAAAACCGTGTAAAATAAGAGGCGTTTCCAATAGCAAAATGGGGGATACGTTCCATGTCATTTGATCTATTTTATTGAGCATTAAAACTTGAAATACATACATAATTCATACTGTTGAAAAATTGGTAGATTAAGCAAAAAACAAAAGAAATCTGTTAATCCTTTTGATAGCATTTATGAGGATCGGCATAAGGCTTGAAAAATGAAAATTTTTATATATAGTATATGGAGCCAGAATAATTCGTTTCCCAAATTAAAAGAAATGGCGACATTTAATTAAATTGCATGTAAAATTATACCTTCACTTAATTTTAATATGAATTATTCGTTTTATTTTGTAATCAATTTAAATTTAGAACAGTTACCAAATTTCTAATCAAAAAATAAGTACGGGAGAAAATAAAATTTTATTCCAAATACCGGATTCAAAAAAGAGATTCTAAGCTTAAAATTTAAAGAAGGAAAGAAATTTAAAATTAAAGTAAGAAACGGCAAAGTTCGCGTAAAACCGAGCATTTTCGACTCTTGCAACTTACAGGGATTAAAGCCGAGGTAATATCTTCAGCTATATAGGGCTTGTTAGTTATATGGGCTCTAGACGGTGTAGCAGGAGTCTAGTTTTTACACGATTTTATTCATTCTAAGCACAAATATTCACCGTTATAAGAAAACACGTACGCTCAATTTTATTAATATAATCCATATATTGGCCCATATAGTATGCGGTATAATGTCACGCGAAAGTTTGAAAGCCTTTATGTTAGATGTTTGGGGCTAAAAGAAATACTGACTTGATTCAAACTATTTTTTATATACAGAGATACTATTATCAGGAAAGGATTTTCTCCGAATTTAATTAATGGGATCCACATATTCAGTACCCAGTGGCTTGAACAGTTTTGGTTACATTTGAACAATTTTTGGCCGTAAGGTGTCATACTATCATGGTCATACTGCACAGTTTTATCACGTTATAATTATTGCTCTTGATTTGATTGATTTAAGGAAAGTGAAATAATTAAAAGAAAATTAAAATTAAATAAATAAAGTCCATTTCGGGTATAAAATTAAATGTGTATGGCGTACAGTTGCGTTAGGCTTAGGCTGTTTAGATTTATATTTATATAACCCTATATCTATCCCGATTACTTTTATGTGTTATAACTAACCGTTAATTGAAAAAAACTCCTCTAAATTATTTCCGTAGCATTAATTGTGTGTATTTATAATGAGCGCCTATAAATATGCAACAGTTTTGCAAATATGCTTATAAATCATTGAAAATATTTGTAGAAGTGTGCGTGCGTTTTGAACTTTCACTAAAAACAACTTTCTGTGTGTGTGTGTTGTGTGTCGTTTTATAATTATACATATATGTTTTTGTACTTATATTAATGAGTATTAAATACATATTTGCAAATACAAAATTTGCATGTAGTAAATAAAATAGTTAAATAAATTGTTAGATTTTCGACAAAAACATACCAGTGTCACACCAAAAAAGAAATAGTACCTTGTATTACGAGGATTACCTTTTATATTTCGAGTTTAGAGAGCACAAAAAAAAAACGAGTGATCCAAGTAGGGGTCCTTTTTTTAATAGCCTTTTTTTGACAGATCACGCCTAAGTCGCATTAAGCTGTCATGCTATTTTTGTTCATTATTGTTTGGCATTAATCACGGAAAGACTAATGCCTGAACAACGTTGACAAGTCGTTCAACTTTATTACGGAAATTCATATTCTGTAAAGAATGAGTTTTCGAGCACTTCGCTCAATCGGCATACTGAGCGTACTATTCACAAAACCATCTCCCATCTTGAGATCCAGTATTTATTATTGGACAATATTCGAACGAATAGGTCACGTCCAGCATGCAGTGAAGAAAATATAGCAGCCGTACCAGAGGGTGTATGCGAAGACCATGGAGAGTCGATTCGTTCGCAGCAAGTCGGACTGGCGTATGAAATGACTTGGCGCATTTTACGTCGAGATCTTAAATAGAAAGCGTACAAAATACAGTTTGTACAAGAGCCGATGCTGCTCAACTTTCTCAAGCGATATCTCTTCGCTCTTTGAAAGTTCCAAGAAGATCCAACGTTTTCGAGCCAAATTTTGCTCAGCAATGGGGCCCATTTCTGGCTCAATGGGTAGCGAGTGATCTTGGCGATATTTCATTTCAACAATATGTCACCACTTCCCATACTTCGCATCAATCAATGAATTGAGAGAACAGGCCTTAAAGTAAAACATAACGCGGGTATTCGCCAGTTACCAGTTGAAATGCTTCAACGAGTCATCGAAAATTGGGCTCAACGGATAGACCATCTGACGTAGCCTCGGCCAATATTTGAAAGAGATAATCTTAAAAAAATAAATGCGAAAGAATGTTATTTCAAATGATAACAAACATTCTCCATCAAATTTGAAGTTTCGGTGTTTTTTTTTTAAGTAGGGATCCTCGAAATAGAGCATTCTTCGAAAATCGCTTTATTATTTTTCTAAAACTGTCGATTAAGATGTATTCAGAGTTGCTTGCGCAATTGTTGAAGCACCTTTGCTACCCTGACTGAGTAATATCTAAAATATGTGGTGGTTTATAAAGTGGGTCGATCTGAATAATGTCTTCTTAAGTTCGTATGACAGCTGTTATAGTTATTGGATCTGAAAAATTTCTTCGGGGTTTGCATTACTGATTCAGGCAATAATCAATACCAAATTTTTTGAGGATATATCGTGAAATTAAATTGCATATATATAGACGAACATGGCTAAATCAATTTAGTCCATCACGCTGATTCATTATATATACACTTTGTAAGATTTCCGTTGTTTCATTCGTGGCAAACTTAATATACCCTATTCAGGTTATAATAAAAGCTTTCTTTCGATTCTGTTTCAAAATTGTATGTACGTGTTGTTTTAAAAGCTGTTGACTCGCTTTATGATTCATAATTTTTTTGTTTTTTTTTAGCTCACATTATTACGTTCATTCCCGTGTATATACTATAAAACTATTGTTTAGAAAACAAATATTGTTGTAAACATTTTAAGACGATGAAACAACACACACACATATATATGTATACCCGAAGTATACACTATAATAACTTAAAGTTAGTAAAACACTTACGATTTGATGCGCTCACACACAACACCGGGGTCAAGTATAAATATTTGTTTACACTCAAAGTAAATATGTATGTGTACGGTCTACAAAACCAGCTTGCATGAAGTCGGAATGAAAACTAAATTGCAATGAAAACTTTTCTATTTTCTAAATAATACAATCACTATTTAAAGGGCTTAACAATTCAATTTGGAAGTACTGCAAATAACACAAAGGGCTCCCACAATTAGCAAAACGCTATTGGCTCCACATTCCTTGCAAAAATGGCAGCTTGCATTAAGGGCTCATTATATGTACTCTTATACATATATGTACGCATACTTGTTTAGAATTCAATGTTTATTAATATTTCATCGAGCCGCTCCACCGGCAGGTGCACAGAGGTCGTCGCGATTCCATATTTGTTTTCGTACTCGCAGTTCTAAGTGCCATTAGGGCGCAAAACGGCAAACGATTAAAATACGCACTTGCAGTTAATATATGTTAATATAAAACATAATTCATACATACTTACTTATGCTTACGATTATTCCAAAGCTCCCCTCCCACTTTTTACATATGCATTTTTTGTTTACATAAGAATTCTAATTTGTCAGCTGATATTAATAATTTATAACTAAATTTATTTCATTGACGTGGATTGAATCGGATTATAGATACCATACTTTGTATAAATATATGAGACTTAATTTATTGAAAAGCACTTATGTTTTGTGACGACGCATTAAAAATCTATTTCTTAAAGTCTTTGGTTGTATAAAATTTTCAGAAAGAAATTGTAAGTATTATTAAAGGGTGATCATTTCGAGATTCAATACTTTTTGAAAGAAAAAACACAGAAACTTCAAATTTAATGGGAAATGTTTATTACTATTCGAAAGAGTTTTTTTTTGGCATTTATTTTTTGAAGAATCTTCTTCTTCCTCTTTACTGGCGTAGACACCGCTTACACGATTATAACCGAGTTATCCTTTTCAATGGAGGCGTTTTTCGTGGCGAGTCTCAAACCCAGCGCACAACCCTCGGGAAGGATGGTTCGCCTTCTCACTTTAGCTTGCCTTTAAACGGATGTTTTTTGGCTACACAGAGGATATTTGGTCTAAGACCGGAAGTCGTGTGGAGTTTGAGCCATAAGTAAAATAATCGTTTCTGGTCATTTCCAAGTGTATGACAACCATAGAACTTTCCTCACTTGCGTGAACTTCTACACATCACTGAAGCCTTCCGAAGATTATCTCTTTCAAATGTTGACGGCGATTACGTTTCAGATGGTCAATCCGTTTAATCCAATTTTCGATGACTTTCGACTGGTAGTTGGAGAATGGCATGCATAGTGTTTGGCTTCAAGGCCTAATTCTTGATCGACTTTAGACTTTTACTTATCCCCACAGGAAAAAGTCTAACGGCCCAAAACGATGAAATGCTCTTGAATCTCTTTAGGTTACTCTTTGTCTTAAATTCAGCAATTGTGCTTGCTTACATACTCATTGAGCCCGAAATAAGTTTCATCGCTGAACAAAATTTGGCTCCAAAGACTCTCCACGGTGTTCGTTTCGGCTGCTACTGCGTGCTGCATGTCTATTCTATCGAATATTATCAAATAATGAAGGCTTGGTCTTAAGGTGATGGTGTTGCGAATCGTACACACAATAGGCCGATTATATTGATCATAAGTTAAGTAAAGCATCCGAAACACATTCCTAACACAACGGAATTTTCATAATAAAGTCGAGCAATTTGTGAACGTTGTTCAGGGGTAAGTTTTTTCATTATGAAATGCCAAACAATACTCAACAAAAATAACATAACAACTTGACACGACTTACTCGTGATCTTTAAAAAAAAAAAAAAAGAATATCTACTTGGATTACTCTTTATAATTGCAACAATTATTCGGACGTCTTGAAAGAAAGCAAGATTTAGGTATCCCACATAATTTCGTCATTCAAAGTCAAAAACTAAGGTTCATGCGTTTGATAACAATATTATATTACCCAGATGACGTCGAGAGGGTGTTTTGAAATAACAATAACTTGTAGAAGTTTTTTTTATAGCTTTTAAAGCTGCAGCGAATATAAAAAGTCGTAAATTTTGACGATCGGTGAAAAAGATCACTCCTACGTCATTAATATATATTCTTTAATGAAAACAAGACAGAAATTATCGATAAAATCTATTGACTGAAATGTCTACAGAAACTGCGTTTATGAGCTGAGCCAAGGATTTCGTTTTCAGTTTACAGATGAAACTTTAGGTTGAAATATGCTTTGCAAAAAAAACAACAACAATACACGTGCGTAGTCATGAATCGCAGTTCTGTCTGTAAAAGTAGCTTACACCACACTTTGGAAAATTTTATATTAGCTACTAACTTACAACAAGATTACTTAAGTTGTTGCTAATATTGTATGAGCCATTTTAAAATATTAAACATTGTTATAATAAATCATAATATGTTTTTCGAGGCGTAACGTATACTTCTAACATTGTTGATTACTATTTTATTAATTTTTATGTTGTTGTAAATTAATTATCAGGTTAAGGTAATTTTTAGTTTTCGATATCGAAATTAATTAATTTTTATATAATACTATTGACTTGTGTTATAAATAACCTGTTTATAAATTAGCCGATCAAGGTTTAACCATTTAGTAGCGCAATTCTCATAAGAGTATAGCTTTCAAGCGCACTTTGACTACTGAAATATGCCTTTGGGCAGATTTGTTTGTAAAATGCTTTCTCATATCTGATATTGCAAAGACATTTTTATAAATTTATAAAAGTCAAACGCTTGTTTTTCACTATGCTGATTTTTGGTATTTTAATTTTATTAGGAATTGAGATTAAACTTCCAATAAGCGCCAAAATGCAAAGTTGAAAACGCACGTACTTGAAAACAAGTTCACACACAATATATATTAAAATATTATAGATTTATCTAACTGATTATTTATTTGTTAATTTGTTTTCTTTATTTAATATTATTTTACTTTACTTCATATTATATTATTTTACTCTATTTTATTTTATTTTATTTATTAAACTGCCAATAAGCGCTAATATTCAAAGTTAAAATAACTTCACACACACACAAATCAAAATATTATATGATAGATTTATCTAATATATTGTTTTTTGTTTAATTTTTTTCGTTATTTAATATTATTATTTACTTTACTTCATATTATTTTATTTTACTTTATTTAATTAATGTTATTTTATTTTTAAAATTTTCAACATTTCTCTACTTAATTAAATATATTAGTTTGGATGCGTACAAATTTTAATACATACGCACTTATGTATATAAACAAACATACATTTGTTTTTGATGTTTTACGCGTACTTCCGCACTTCCGCCGTTTTTATGCAGTAAACCTTTTCTGCTTTCAATTATGTTACACTTCGTATTCTCTGTTGTTGTAACACGGCTCTAGCTTGTTTATTTACATACGCCCAAATCAATTCGATACTATGTGAGACGAGTATTTATTTTGGTTTTTTCATTCGTTCAACTTCGCAATATAACAACTTTTATCTAAAATTCAGTTACGCACCCGCGAAAAAAAGCCTATGCGAAATTAGACAAATTACCAAATATTGAAGCAGATGAGCTCCACTTTATAGCAGCGCTAAAAATGAGCAGCTCGTGTGCACCGATAACTGAAATCAAAACCTCACTGACAGCCTTTTGTTTCATGAACAGGTGATAGAGTACGAATGAGCGGCGTAAATGGGACTGCAAATATTGAATGTAAAGGCGAGCAGCGGCAGCAGGCTACTACGAAAAGGCAGCAACTTTAGACGATATCAAAACAAAGCTCAAAACGCCGGCAAGCGCGTCGATGACAACTCATACATATGCATATTTAATTTAGTCATACGTGTATTTCAATTTATATAGTTACAGCAACAAATATAAACAAATAAACATGTGCTTGAGTGCGGAGTGCGTGTGCTTGTGTTTGTGTGCAACTATGGGTTTTACTAACGTTGCCATAATCGTTTGCTGATTGCCCATAAGAGCGTTAGTAAAATACTAATACTAGATGCAGAATGCGTACGATATTGTTCAGACTGCGTCTTTGCGCCCGCTTAGACAACGCTTTCGGCTGCTTTGTCTTTGGCTCTGCGACTCCCTCAGTTGACGCGCTGGACGCTGCCCTACTTGAAAACCCGCCTTACTTGCAGCAACACGCACGTTGCGGTGGCGAGCGCGTGCATAAACAAGCAATTGGATTCACTACAATAAACTGTCACTCAATAAATCTATCCATCAATTTATTCTGCCGCCGAAATGGCTTTTATGATATGCGCAGGCGTACATACATACATACATACACATGGGTGTAAGCGGTATATATTATTAAGTGTGTATGCAAATCATTTTAAACAGCTGTCACTGCGGCTGACCTCCAGTTTAATACTGGGTTTTATTGTTCTTCTATAACATAATCGTAATTATGTATATACATATACATACATACATATATGTACATACTCATAATATATTATTGATTTTTTACCAGTTGATTTGCTTACTTATTGCACTTCTGTATTATATGTGTATATACGCAAGTGTAATTTGAGCTCAAAACGTATTTACCAACTTCAACTAAACTGAAGTCCTTATTGCAAGCTTTCTGTGCTGAATTTATTTACATACACACATACATAAAGACCATTATTTTCTGTGGAGTCTTTATGTGATGGTGGGCTCTAGAAAAGAGCACACTTGCAAAGAAACTCGAGAGCCTTCAACGGGCGTCGCTCATCATCATGTGTGGTGCACTAAGGTCCACTTCAACCATGGCTCTTAACGCCAACTTGCACATATTGCTCGTGGGCATTGCCGTAAGGTGTATGACTGCAAAAGTTTCCAGTGCCTGAACACTCGGAAATCCTCATTCACTTTGATTTCATACCGGATCAGTCGCCGAACTGAACTCTGGCGAGGAAGTTGTGAGTGGGAAGAAGTATCTGGAAGCGAGGGGCAGCGAGCTTCTTTACGGATGGGTCAAAGCTTGGGGGAAGGTTGGTGGAGAAGTTTGCCGTCAGGCGTAGTCTGTACAAATTCGTATTCGTTTTGCTAATTTATAAGTTCAAACCCATGACTTCTTTTTTTTTTCTTCACAAAGGATTACTTATAAATGCCACGTTCATGTTCGAACCTGATGTATTTTTATGGGCCATTAATTCCGTATATAATATGCCATTGAATTTCAGTGTGCTGGGGAGGACTTTAGGTGAGACATGATTGATGAGATGATCATTGGTCGACAATCACGGGTCTCTCATATGTACATACATATGTGTATCCAAATAAATCTTAAGTGATTTTGAAGAGTCTCTTTGCCCATAAATACATAATGGGTATACTTACTGCAAAATGTATTAGAAAATCTTCAAAGACGCGAAAAGAGTGAAAAAGACTTCACAACTTTGTTTACAATTTTTGCACCCTGTAAATACAGTACAATCTCATATAATACCACAACATCGTTGAGTAATGTAACCACAATGTATGCAGGGTTACGAAAGTCCACTATAACATCTTCGTTGCACGAATTCGTCCAGTCGTTAAGTACTTAGTCGAAAGTTTTACAAAGCTTGAGTGTACCCGAAGACCGTGGAGAGTCGGTTCGGCGCCGTTCGCAGACGCATTTTCCATTAAATTTGAAGTTTCTGTGTTTTTTCTTTAAAAAAGAAACCTCGAAATGAATCACCCTTTATAAAAGACCCTCGTAATCAATCACTGCACCTTTTCTTTTTTCAAATTATATTTTCTAAATATGAAGTCAGACAGATATTTTAAATTGAGTTATTTATTTGTCTCTTACTGTACATTCAAAATTTATTCGATATACTTTTTATTTCATAACCTTCTTGTTACATACAAGTATTTACATATATACACACGTGCATAGTACGCATAAAGTGTTGTTTAAAAACTCTGCAGATTGACGAGTATCGTCGACTTACCGTGAATACAAATTTTTCAAGCACACCGCTCTTTGTCATACATAGCAATCAAACGTACATCAGCGTATTTATGCATGCATAATACTTGCTTGCATATAGTAATTTAACAGCACACCTCGAACATACTATACATGCATAGGTACGTAAGTTTGTATATCTAAAAGTAAAACAAAAAAGTAAGTTAGTAAATAGTCACAACTTGTTAGTTGATTTGATTTAATTGACTGGGTATTTATATATAAGTGATGTAGAAATGTTACATGCCATGACAGTTTGAATTAGATGCGATTAACATGGTATATAAAGAGTGTGTTTGCAAACATAAAAGTACAAATGTACGAGGTCGGTACAATAAGTAATTGGCGCATTCTCGTACATGGTATCGAACTCGTCGTTAGAACTACCACGGAGGATAACGTGACATAAGTAAATTGTAGGTCGCGGTAGGCGTCTCTAAAGACCGCGTACATTTAGGTTAGGCCGATTCTCTGGGATCGCACTTGGACGGCATATCAGTTTCGGTTTTTGCCTCCTAGTTCGTCGAAGGTAAGACTGCTGAGCTGTTTTAACCTTAATCTTGCACGGCTGGAAAATGGAGGAGAAAGTGCCTGGTTGTTTACATTTCACCTTCCTCCTTACAACTTGCCTCAAACAAGATTTTTAGCCTTACCGCATGAATGCACCACTTCTGCGATGAACTTCACTAAGGGCAAATAGTTCAGTAGATCCCTGAGTTCCAAAAAGGCTAGAAGAGTCGCGATCAATGCCTGTTAAGCGTATTTTCTGCAAAGTCTATTGATCCTGTGCATGATAAAAATGGAGATCTAACTTATTCCCATTCTGATAAAAGCGGGGCAATAATAGCCTTAATAGCAGCCACTTTTGGCTGAAAAACACTATTGCGGGGTTCGGTACCCTAGAGCTAACTAATTGTATGAGAGGTCCATACTGAGAACTGCTCTCCCACTGACCTTCCTTCCAAGCTTCGACCTATTTAATTGCGCCTCTGCTCCAGAGACTCCTTCCCTTCCACATATCCCTTGTTGATATGTAAACAAAGAAAAACTTCGATCTGCGACAAAGTGATCCAAGTCTTCAGGAACTATGGACTTTACGCAGCGGACCTGTCCTATCTGCTGGCAAAGGTGATTATTATCGCTTTTTCGGATGCTAAAGGTAGTGTCAGCGTGACTTCTTAAAAGAAGGGCAAAATGTCTCAGGTCCCTACTATGCCGAATTATTTCGCGAAAAAACTGATTTTGTACCATCACAACGCATCTACTCATTCCTCCGCTATTGTCGGGACCAAATTGATCGAACTACAGCCATCGTAATTACTATCCAAAGTATTCCTTGAGTTTCAAAAACCGGAAATTTAAGTCGAAAGAGAAAATCTTTTCCATAGGGAAAATTATTATTTCGACGGGTTAAAGAATTGGGATCGCTGAGACAGGTTTTAAACTAAAAGGAAACTATGTTGAAAAATAAATCGCAATTTTTCGAAATAGTTCTTTAGGCCAAGTACTTATCAGACTATTTCTAGGTAGTTTAGGAGTAATCAAAAGTCATGTACATATGTACATATCAATTTTTACATAGTCATGCATGTTTTAATCGTCAATATATCTTAGATACGCATTTAAATACATACATATATACACATGTGCATACACGTTTGTGTGACTTAAGTGAAAATTACATAGCATATGTATGTATGTGGTATATGAGTGGCAGTTACTCTTTGACATATAACCACATTTACGAATAATTACATGTTACGCTTTTGATTTATATTTCATACATTCACTTATGCATATGTACGCATGTATGTACACAGTATGTATTTTTATATATTTTTATGCACCTACAATTTAGTGTTTTAAATCGGCAATTTTGGCTGGTTTTAAAAATATTGGGCCAACCGGTGATTTAGATAATTACAAGCAAAACGAAAATTAAGTTATTCGATTACTAGTAAAAGCAAGAACAAGAATTTTAATCACTTTGCAATCGTTGCCTACAAAAAAAACTAGGTAAGAACTTGTACTATGTACTATGCTCAAGATTCGTTAGTCGCAAACCAAAGCACAGTGGCCCCGCAGTGGGATACCGGACTGGCTCAATAGTTTTAGCTTCTACAGTGGCTGTCAAAAATTTACGAATATCTTTCGATATTGAGTTTTTCTAAAAATTTTAGTATTTAAGCGGTCACATGGGTTTCCTCGAAAAACAAAGTTTTTTAATAATTACACCCTGAACAGGGTATATTAAGTTTGTCACGAAGTTTGTAACACCCAGAAGCTTAGCTATGTCCGTCTGTCTGTATATATACGAACTAATCCCTCAGTTTTTAAGATATCGTTTTGAAATTTTGCTGCTCATTTGTCGGAACCATGGATATTGGACCACTATAACATATAGCTGCCATATAAACTGAACGATCGGAATCTAGTGCTGGTATGGAAAACTTTTGCATTCGATTATTTTCTATGGCAACAATGTAATCTCTACAGAAATTGTTCAGATCGGGTAATTATAGCATATAGCTGCCAAACAAACCGAATGATCGGAATCAAATCCTTGCATGGGAAATTTCCTCATTTTACGATATATCTTCACGAAATTTGGTATGAGTTATTGTTCATACAAATAATGTAATATAGGAAGAAATTGTTCAGATCGGCTCACTATTGCATATA